CGTTACCACAATAATAACGTAGTTACTGTAACGCGTTACTTAATAACGCGTTAGTCCCAACACTGTTCATAACACACGGGAAAAGACCCAGGGAAACAGAGTTAACGATAAAATCAATTAAAAAAACAAAGATAAAAACCCTGAAAACCATCAATTTCACACCAGAGCGTCAACTCTTGTGGCCCGGTATCAAACGACTGTGTGTGTGTGTGTGTGTGTCTTTGTGTGTTCTTGTGTTTTTGGGACGTAGACTGTTCACAGTCACCTTGTGGAGACTGCTTCCTTTCAGGGACAGACAAAAAGTCGCCATAATGTTAATTATTAAATATCGGGCCGAACAGTTGGTGTAAGGGTGGGCTAAGCAGAAGGTTTGAGTAAGGTTAGGGTGAGGCGAGTCAGAGAGCAGTAAGTACAGACACAGTGTTGTAAAGAAAAGAGGTTTGAAGGCTCTTAGTGAAACACTGTAGTCATCACTCTCCTTCTCATAGTCTTCATAGTCATTGTTCACAGTCCACAAGCAAGCGGCCATTAGCCAAAACAGGGATGATATACTGCACCTGTCCTGCACTATTACGCTGCACTATTTTATGTAGCTTGCCAAATTACATTAAAAACATGATCCATGGTCGTAGCTATAGACAGTACCAAAGGTGGATGGAGCCACTCTCTGGTGTGTTAAGTCTCTTTTGAAACAGACGTGATAAGACCGGAGTGCATCTGACTTACAAGCTGAGGATATTGTCGTCTCACAGGTTAACAACTTGTCATTACCTAGTGAAGGTACCCTGGATAATCATCATTTCTGAAAATTTGAATTTCCACAATTTACCAAATACATTCATGTTTTAATCCGTTTGACCTGATTGAGCCGATAAAGGCATCAGAAAGCGTTGCTGAGGTCAGGGCTGTGACCACGCCTAACTTTTTTGTCTTTGATATTAACTAAGGAGTTTTTTTCCTTACTGAAAATGGACCTTTGGGCGGCTGACTGTAAGTAAGCACGATTGCTCAGCATATAGTTAAGGCAGGGAGTCTGGGCTACCTTTTGTAACAGATGTCTTGGCATTTTCCTGATGATTCTACACATTTGAAAAACTAAAAACTACTTACGATATGAATTAAGCTCCATTTAAAAATGTTTAAACATATTTTTCTTTGGTGGAAAAGACTGTTTTGGCAACAGTTTTTTTCTGTCTAGAACAGTATTTATTTTAGTCATTCATAGTGACACAAAGCAAAGCCAACACAGGGTGGTTAGATGGTGCTAACTGAATTTAGCTCATCTGCAAAAATCTGGTTAGTGTGTCACAGTAGATGTTATAGTGTAGTCTTAGAAAAATGGCAGGTAGATGTAGCAAATAAGTTAGCTTGGATAAATTAGCTGTCCTTTTTTTACATTTTATTTTGTGAAATAAGATGGAGTGCAACTTATCCATGTTAGCAGGAAATCATTAGTCAGAATAAAGTAAGAATAAACCAAACAGTCCCTTAGATTAATTTCACTCTAGTCCATCTCTGCAGAGGTGGTTCACTACCTGGCTAAGCTTAACTAGTTAACTTTAAGAAACACCAGTGCATTGGCACATACTGGTGTTTTAATGGGTGATGTTTGATAGAACTATTCAAAAGCTGAAGAGAGCAGGGTTGTTGTTTATTTTAATTCGTTCATTGTTTATTTATAGTAAACGTGAAAATCTTTAACATCCACTAAAAGTGACTTTAAATTTAACTTATGGCAGCATTTTCTGATAAAAATGCGCATTTTGTACGGTGATGTTAAATGTGGTTATCCTGGAAATGAAGTCAGTGTGACGTCGTCTGAAGTGATGGAAACATGAGCACGTGTGTGTGAGCGAGAGCTGCAAGACAGAATCAGTCTGACTTTCACTCCTCATCTCATCTCCCTCCTCCTCTTCCTCCCTCGTCCTCTTAGCCATGACCCCGCTCAGATGAGATGCAAGATGATGTCAGCACTTTATCGACCTCGCTGCTGTCACCTCCTCGTCCCGAGAGAGGTGCAGACAGAGGGGGAGGGAGATGAGGATGAGAAACGGTGACAGATGGGGAGAAAGTAAAAGTTAAGAGGAGAACAGACCAAGATAATGGAGAGAGAGTAAGAAAGCACTCCTGAATCCTTAAGAGAAGATTCGGGAGTGACAATTCAGAGAAACAAGCAGAGTGATGGCAAAAGCAAAAACTGAGTTAAAAGTGAGTAGAAAGAGGAAAGACAAGGGAGGGGGCAGAACCTGAAGACCTGAAGGTTGGATGAGTCAGATGTGGGACTCTCCACCAGTCTTACTAGAAGCTGAACCAAGCATGCCTGTGTTTCCATTTTTAAAGTTACTCTTAGAGCAACTGTCTTTTATAAATGACATTAGTCATTGATGATTCTAAGCTGCAGGATCCAGTTAAAGCGAAATAATGATTGTAGGGTGAATAAAAAAAAATGAGATTTATAAAATAACTAACATGTTTTTGTTAAGATGGAAACTGTTACCCTCCAAACATCTATGAAATGTTAGAGAATCAGAATTCGCTTTCAAAAGTTAAACTCGCAGATTCTTAAAATGTGTTGCTTTTTGCGTTGGTTTTTACTGACCACTTAAAGCCCTTCAGACTACAATCAGAAAAGTCCAGCTGGGGTTTGAACCAGGAACCTTTCTGCTGTGAGGTGACAGTGCTAACAACTCCTTTACTGTGTCTCCTCAGTCCGTCAGTCTCCCAAAATCTGACTTCCCAAAAGTTTTCACATTTGGGAAGCCTTTTAAAAAGTAATGTTTTTGAATTTTTGCATTCCTTTAAAAATACCAGAATCAGAATACTTTAATAATCAATAAGGTAACTATGTATGTAAAATAATGAACCAGCTAGCGATTGTCAAATGGACATCAATATTCTGCATTCAAAATGCAATAAAACTAAATTTTCTACATCAAATATCTTCCCAAAGTTGAGCATTTTTAAATTCTAAAAAGAACCAGATTCAGTCGTCTCAAACAAGCCTGGAAAGGGAATGTTCAAATTATATGAGGTCCGTGTATGTGCAATTAAGTACAGCTTTCAGACCACTCTAAATGACAACTGATCTATTTTTTTCTACTCTTGGCTCTAAATGATGTCACTAAGAGAGGATTTCCCTAATATGGTCGTCTCGCACAGCTCTTTTTGGAAATCCACAAAAGTTGATTCTGTTCATCTGGATGTAACGTTTTCAGTGGCAGAAACCTTTTGTTTCGAACAACGGGCTGGGAGATCAGTTAATTGATCATTGATATGCAAATTCACATGACCATTGATCAACAACCACTGATCAAAGCCCGTGATCAATGGCCACTGATCAATGGCCATGAGTACCATTCACAGAGAGTTGGGGAATGGCTGTGATCACAGCATTGTATGACAGTGAATGATGTACCCTTAGGCCCCCTCCTTGACAATTTGCATATTAATGATCAAGGAACTGACCTCCCAGCCCATTGTTCCTTCGGTTATGCTAGTTTAAGTCATTATGCAAATGTACACTTTATAAGATTTGGGGAAACCTGCAGTCAGCTGAGACTGAAGAAGTCACCTGGATGAGTGACGAAATGTTTCTCCCACTGGAAACGTTACGTCCAGATGAACAGAATCAGCTTTTGGGGATTTTCTTCCCTGGATGATTGAGCATCCATCAAGTGTCTTTTTCACCAGAGATTTTTCTGAGAATCTTCACCTTCTGGTTGTCCTGACAATTTGACTGCCTGAAGTAAGTCCTACTATTATCCCAGAGGACCAAAGGAGGAAATGCCGGGGTTTCAGTGCTGGAACTGTCCCACTGATTATCATGGGGAATGTGAGGCGCTTAGTCAGTAATATGGACGAGCTCGGTGAGCTGATTAAGACTCAGAGGGAACACCGTTAGTGGAGTTTGATGTGCTCCTTGCAGACGTTGTCATGGCAGCAACCAGAAATATGGAGAGATTGAACTAGATGTGATTGAAAAGTAGTCTCCTCTCGAACACGCTGCTGCGAAGGAGCGTTTCAGTGGCGTGAATATTAAAGTGCATGCTGAATGCATTAACATGCCTGAGAGAGTTCGTCATATCATTGAATTCAGCTTGAATCACCGCACTTGGGATGTCTTCCTCAACTGAGGAAGGTCCTCCAAATGACCGTGGCTGTGTGTGGTAAATGGCTATGGATAATTAATGGAGCCAGACCATCCTCTGCACCACTTAGCGGACATGCAGCTCAACTCATTTTCTCACTCTTTTATCTCCTCAGAAACATGGACACATACAGAAAGTCTTTACCACCTCATAACACATTCGTTTTACGTTTAAGCTGCTCGTTGTATGATATAAGATTTTTACATTTTTATAATTTTACTTTTATTGTAAGGTGTTTTTATTGTTTTTGCTCTTGCAGTTGTGACATGTTGCTAGCTGTTGTAGTTTGTTTTCCATTGTAAAATGATGTTAGACTGATCCTGTATTTAACTGGTTTTGATGTTTACGTGTGTGTGTGTGTGTGTGTGTGTGTGT